CTGGCACCGTGTCCAAGCGGGACCACACTGTCCTCCCGCTTCACAAGCAATAGCCAGTGACTGTTAGCTTCTAAACTAAGGCTGTAGTTTCTTTAAAAGAAGAATTTAACTTGCAGAAAAGCATCTCTTGGAAGAAGGGGATGGGGCAGGATTTCGGTGGTTCTCCATGAAACCTCCTGGCTGCTGCCCCTGAGCCTGGCAATGCCAAACCCATAACTACAATGGTTGATACATATAAATAACTCATTTATTTGCAAAATGCTCTCCCCCAGAAGATCACTTGATTTAACTCACCATGGCTCCCCTTTCTTTGTGTCGCTCCAGGGAGAGCTGGGCTTGCCAGGTCCGCCCGGGCTGGATGGCGAAAAGGTGCGTGGGGCTGGATCGAGCGAGACCGCGCAGGAGCTGAGTTCAAAAGGAGTTTCCTTGTGTGTCCCTGAGAGCTGTCACTGGGAAAAGCAAATCTAATCTCAGCCTGCCAGGAGCAAGCTCTTCCCCATAACGTCCAGCTGCATCTCCCTGAATTAATCCCCTTTTGCCCGTGGCCCTGCGCTCGGCCGGGAGATGCTGCTCCCCAGCTAAAGGGGATCTTCTTATGAGTGGTTCATCAGACACTGTCTCAAATTTTGTCATAAACCTTCCCGACCCTCAATGGCTGCAATCCCTGCTACAGCCCACCCAAATTCTGCTGCGCCTGCAAAATCCGCCCATCTAAGTTTTAACGTTAAAATGTGTTTTTGTGAGCTCGTGCTGCGATATGGAGAGAAAAGGTGGAAAGGCAGAAGTGGCTGCTGAGGGGGTATTTTTAATAGTTTTCTCTTAAGCAAGTTGTTTTCTGTAAACTTCCAGGGTCCCAAAGGAGCGAAGGGTGACCAGGGCAGCGCGGGGATCACGGGACAGAAAGGAGAGACCGGAGAAATGGGCTTGGCGGGGCCACCGGTATGTCCCTCCTCCTGTCCCTGTCCTTGATCCTTCAATGCGCTGATTGCTGCAAACGCTCAGGATCTGGCCAGGATTGAACCAACAGCCTGTCCACACCGCGCTGCTGGGGCATGCAGGAGCTTTGAATTTTGTTTGCTAATGACAATGATAACGGCTTGTTCAGAAGGTGGTGTAAGCTGGTAGCAAGCAGGAGAAAAATCTTTTCTCAAAGTCCCCTGGGGATGAACATGAGCTCTGCCTGAGCCAAGGCTGGGGTTTAAAGGAAGACAAATGTGGTTTCCTCTTTTGTTTTTTGTTTCCTGGAAGATGCACCACATCAGCAAAACGTTTTTATCTTTTAGGGAGCAGAAGGGCCAAAAGGAGACAAAGGAGACACCGGGTCACCGTGTTTGCAGAATAATCATGTAAGATCCTGGCACCGTCAAGCCTCTTCCATGCCGCGGGGTCAGGTGGAATCGGGCTGTAGAGGCTGGAGCCACCGGTTCCGTATCCAGCAGCGTAACGGAGGGGAGCAAAACCCAAGTGCTTTCTACAAGATCTTTCAGAGGTGTCTACATGGGGTTTACTTGTTAGGGAGGAACACTTTGCACACTCGGCACTACAAAGTTACCTTACATTTTGCATCAGTGGTTGAGGTACTGGATGCTGCCATTATAATTATGTTTTGTTTGTAAAACATCTTGGGCTCCTTGCAGTTGTATGGGATTTCTGCATCCTTTTTCCTAATTCATGCCTTTTGCTTAAAAAAAAAAAAAAAAAAAAAAAAAAAAAGTGGTGGGTTTTGATAGTTTTTTATTAATTACATGAGAGCTCCAGTTTCATTCCAGCTGGTTTCCCCTGGTCTGTGCAGAAAATGGCATCATTTTCCTTTACATCTGTTTTGTGACTGGCAAACACACTGACCAGCCTGGGTCATACCTCTCATTACAGAAGCCAAGTTGATTCATGCTCATTTATATTATTAATTTATCCTACAAGCAACTCTTTGATTAGCCAATATTTTGATTAAAGCCATTAAATCAGAGAGCATTAAATCATTATTCTGGGCCCTGTCAGGTTTCTATTCCCAAACTGTCTTTTCTCTGAGCCCAGCCCGTTAACGTGCTGTTTAATTCCCTTCTGCAGATCATACCCGAGCCCGGACCCCCCGGATTACCCGGCCCTATGGTAGGACTCTGGAAAGCGGCTCCCGCAACTGAGTGTTCCTGCAGATTTGTTATCACATGAGATTCGTTTAGGACGAGGGTGGTTTGTTCTGCTTAATTGTGTTGGGCTGCTGTGAATCAGGGAAAAAAAAAAATCAGAGGAAAAAAAAAATCAGGGAAGAGCTACAGCATTGTGTGCTGTCTTTGGAGAGATGGAAGCACCTGATTCAGGAGAGTACGTCAGCGTTTGTGGCACGTTTTGCAAATAACCAAGTTGTTCCTCGGGATAGGGAAAACAGAAAATCTTGTGGGATGGGAAAACTTGTTCCTTACCGTGCTGGTGTCTGTATTCCCATAAATTTGCCCAAGTCGGTAAGTTTTTTGCCATCAACCGCAGTGGGGGAGGATGCGGGTGGTGATGAACACAAGGTGCATTTTCGATGCAGATGTCCAAGGTGTTTGGTACCTGCGATGCTCCAAAAGGCTGAGAAGCCATCAAGGGCAGCAGGAAGGTCAGGATGCCTCGGATGTGTCCAAGATGCACCTTGAGATGCTTCAAAACGAGCACTTATAACCTGGGAAGTGTCCCCAGCCCTGGGGGCTCAGAAGGACGCGGTGGCAGGGTGCCACCCTCCAGAGCCTTTGCTGTCACTTGTTTCAGCAAAGCTCTCGCAGCGCCTGCTCCCAAAGCTCCTGGTGCGGAGCTGCATTGTTGCGTGTTACGCAAAGCCGTCCTTTTCGGTTCCTCTGCTCCCTGATTTGACATCGGAGAACCAAGTAAACTGCCACCTGTCTTGAAAAGAAATGTTTGGCCATTGTCAGCCCATAATTTGAGCAAGAAATGGTTCGGGAAGCAAACTTTGGGGTTAGTTTTTTAAATTCTGGTTTTTAAATGTGCCATTGTCTTTCCTGCAGGGTCCTCCAGGAATCCAGGGGCCTAAAGTAAGTCAATAAATTAAATGTCACCCACTGTTTCCAGGCTGCCAGTGCATTATTTACAGGCTCACAAAGGCCTGTCAGCTCTGGGGACTGATTTTTGAGTCACTGTTTGTGACAACACACCCATTGGTTGTGCCGTTCAGCAGTTGGTGTTTTGGAAAAAGAGGCGTTTTTCCTTCCAAACACATTGACGATCCTAAATCCTCCTCCAGCACAGAGTCCAGAGGGCTGGCGGCACACAGGAGTCAGGGTTTCCAAACCCACAGGCTTTATTTTCAACTATTTCTTATATGGTCTGGTCAAGAGGAAAATATTAACATAAGCATCCCAGAGATGCGGGAGGAGGCAGTGGATGCGCAGGGTGACCGTCCTGGGCAAAGCGTTCGGGTTTTCTTGGTTGACGCCGTTTCATTTTTGCAGGGCTTGGATGGTGCAAAGGGAGAAAAAGGTGACAGTGGCGAGAAGGGGGACCACGGCGACGCTGGACCTGCTGTGAGTTGTTTTCCCGTATCTCATTTCTGGCTGTGGACAGATGCCTGCCGTACAGCAGCTATCCCAATGCCGTGTTTCTTGTTTCCTGAAGGGTCTCCCCGGTGCCCCAGGGCTCATCGGTTTACCCGGTACCAAAGGAGAGAAGGTAATCATCGGCGTAGGAAAGGAGAGGTGATGCTGTGGTGTAATCCTAAAATAGGGACTGATAAAATCACTGCCGCGGTGGGTCCGGGCAGAACTGCAGTGTGGGGGTTACCGGCACTATCCCGATGCGTGGCAAGGAGCTCTCTTGGGTCCCAATCTACCTGAAATCCTACTACTATAGGATTTCACCTACTGTATATGTTTGCCTGTGACACCAAACTCAATATGGGATGTCTTCATTCTTATTTTTTCAACTGCAGGGAAAGCCAGGGGAGCCAGGACTGGATGTGAGTATGGAAAACATTAATTGATATGTAGAAACATCAACAACATGCATGTAAAGGCCAACAAATTGCTTGAGATTCTCGGAAAAATATGTAGGTAACACTGGGTAGACTGCTGTCCCTTAAAGACTGTGCCCGTGGAGCAATGTAGGAAAAAGTTGAATTCAGGCCAGTTGCCAGACTGCTTCCACTGCTCAGCTGAAGACGCTGAAGGGTTTTCCCTTTCCAGTTGAGAATATTTGTATTGGGTTCAGTGAAACAAAAATCTGCAGTAGATGTGATGTTACTGGGGTAGGTAAAGCACTAGCTTTCCCAAGAAATTGCAGAGATAGCAAGTCAACAGGAAGAAAATGCTGTAGTCTTCCCCATGGGGGGACGGGTTGATGGCTGAGATTGCTTATGTTGAACTGAGATGCCAGGACGTTCGCACACTAAAATTATAAAACCTTTTTTTTTTTTTTTTCTTCTTTCCTCTCCCTAAAATTGTTGTGATAGGGTTTCCCAGGTCTCAGAGGGGAGAAAGGAGAGAGAAGTGAAAGAGGCGAGAAGGTGAGTGCGTTGTGGCCGTGGAGATGCTCGTGGGGACAGGACTGGCCGCTCCTTTCAGCGGGCAGCGATGCTGGCCCCGGGTGCTGGCTCCCTCTCCAGCCTGGCAGCATTTTTCGGGTCGCTGCTGTAAGGACTTTGCTATAGCACAAGTATCTGCCTGGTCCCAGTGTTAATTAACATGCAGTTAATTCCTACCCACTTGGAAGCCCCCAACCCTCAGCACAACCATTGTGAGGAGCTGGAGCAGCCTGACAGCTCCAGGTTGTAAAGAATCACTGGTTTTGGTTTATAGACCTTGAAAATGGATCCAAATCGAAGGTTTTGTTACAGGAATCCATAAATAAAAGGGTGCCCAGCCGGAGGCAGGAGTCCAGCTGAGCGCAGAGCAGTGGCTGGAAGCTGGTGCTCCCAGTTACTGTCAGATACCAACCTGGTTTCTAGCAAAAATCCGTCATTTAGTCATTCTGTTATAAAATTATCTATTAAAAAATCTCCACCCAGCTTTAACTGAAGGATTTAGTTCCTCACTGAGGTTACACTAGTGCAAACATCCCTACCCTGGGTGAGGTGTGGGACACTGCCAGTGCTGTGTGACTTAAAGCCAAAGGTGTTTCTCCTCCTGTTTCTGATATTTTCCTGTTGTGCCAACAGGGAGAGCGAGGAATACCGGGGAGAAAAGGAGCCAAAGGGCAGAAGGGGGAACCGGGTCCCCCCGGACTGGATCAGCCTTGTCCCGTGGTACGTCTTTTATTTCACTCGTCCTAAACACGCCTTGCCAGGGCTGAAAAAGGAGCTGCAGCTTAGCAGCCAGGGAAAAGGAGGGAGGATTTGGTAGTTCTTTATTTTGCAGTAAATCAGAGCAGATGGTTATTGTTTTCTCACTTTTCTTAATGGTTTGTTTTATCTGCACTGCTGGAAGTTCAGTGCTCGCTGTAAGGGCTCCTCGCTGGCCAGATGGGAGCAAGCCACAGCAGTAAAAATAAAGAATCTTTGTGTAAAGACCTTCTTATTGTAGTCGGGAACAATGGGCTTCAGTAAGGCTCTTCAGGAGATAGCGTGCCCTGGTGAAGCTGCCGGCCTGGCTTTTGAGTGTGGTTGAGATCGGGGAGTAAGTCGATGCAGTGGATGGGGGCGATTTGGAAACAAGGTCAGCTCCGTCCCTTCATCTCCACAAACCCAGCGAGGGATGAGCGTGGCTCTAGCTCTCCCAGGACGGAGCTGGTAGCATCTCGGTACTGCCAGAGATAAGCCATGTACGAGCTGGAGCTCCCCAGGCTGCCCAGTGCCGCTGGGAGAAGAGCCCTCCCTGCGTTTCTCTGCCCAGGACAGCAGCTCGCGGGTCAGATCCATCCCTTCTCAGTGGGTCCCGGGCCATCGCTGCGCACCAAGAGGTTTTCCAGGAAACCTCGCGGGTGTCTTAGCCCAAGGGATCTCCCAAGTCCACTTCTAGAACCTTTCATTGCTTTGATAGGGCCCAGAAAAAAACCTGTACTGGTCTAGAAGATGTGATTCAGCCTGGTAAAATCTGCGTTCTTTTCATTACTATTTTTCATATAACTAAAACCAGAGAGCTCCTTTCCCTAAATGCTTTGAGGCTGCAGGATGGAAAGAGTTATTTATATCAACTGTAACTGAAACCACTACTTCAATGTAGCTGTTAGACCTGAGTTCAGAGGTACCTAACTAGTAGTACCAGGTACCTGCTCCAGCATGCTCCAAAACCCCATTTTTTCTCTAAAGGTGCGCCCTGTCGTCACCCCACCAGCAGGGCTGGGGCAGTCAGAGCTGGTGGATAGCTCCGCTATACCAGCAAAAAGCTCCTTCAGTCAATGTGCTTTATTCTGCGTGGAGATTGAATGTGAACTACAGTTGTTTATTTCATTTCTGACAGATCACCTTTCCTCCCTCAACATGCTGGATGATTTAACCCCTCATCTTTTTCACTGCGCTCTTACAAAGGCGGATCTCTGGTTTGTGTATAGCAGATCTTTCCCAGATAAGACTCTGTCTGTGAACTCCCCCCCCCCCATAAAACAACTCTGCTGACTTGCTGTGTCATCAGAACCGGAGGGGTAAAGTTCTGGACCCATCCTCCTCTGCTGAAACACGGGTGTCTGTTCGAGGAACTCCCATGTCCTTTATCGTTCTCAACCAGCAGTTATTTTTCCAAACAGGGAGCCCGTAGCATTGCAGGCAGCAAAGGGGACCCAGGTTTACCTGGCCTGGAGGGGGTGAGCGTGCCCTGCCCGTTGGTACAGTATCTGCCATTTCCTTCTTGCATGGCTTGTGTGTGTGGTTCTGCCGTGGCCAAGCGCTGTCCCGAGGAGCAAATCCCTCCAGGGAGAGGAAGAACACCAGGCAGCAGGGCTGGAACAAGATGTTTCACTTTGGAGAAGGACGCCAGTGTGTTGTGGCTTCTTCCTCCCAGATAAAATTTGAGATAAGGAGTGTAAAGAATGGAGATCAGGTAGGGGAGGATGCTTGCCCCTTTATGATAACAGATGCTAAAAATTAGTTCTGGTTTCTCTCACCCAGTTTGGTTCCCCTTGTGCCTGTGAGCCCAATTCCCAGCTGGGTTTTGAAAAGCTTTCCCCCAATAACTGAAGGGCCGGTTCAGCGGGGCAGTGGCTGGAGGGGTCACCAGCACCCAGGGCGTCAGAAGGGCGTTTGCCATGTCGGCACGGAGCTCTGCCCCGCACGGCTCAGGTCCGTGTCCGGCACTTCTGCAGGAAGGCTCTTGCTCTGCCCCCCGACAGGGCACTGCACCACTAGCTGAGAGAGGTCATTGTTTGATTTTCATTTTTTTTAACCATAGAAAATGCTGCATGTAGGATGATTTGCAGTTGTCTTCAGAAACAAAAGGGCAGTAAGCTGTCTCTCTTTCAAAAAGTTAAATTACTTTCAGATGTGTCAAAGAAACCAATTACTAACAGCAGGCCTGCTTGACTCTCCGTATGTACTCCCCGGAGATGTTATATTTACCAACTATTTCCCAACTTAACTGTATGGAAAACACAGGACCCATCTGTACTGAAGGCACTGGGAACAGCAGTAGGTGGTTTCTCCACGGTGTAACTACTACATGGTTAGTTAGTAAAGCACTTGCACATCTTCCCCTTAGGTACTCATGTATGTGCATGTACGTACGCGGGGGTTGGCTGCATGTTGGCTGTCCGTGCTGTTTCCATCCTCCACCCCACCCTGCGATGGAGGCTTGCTGGGTTCTCAGTAATAGCTTTCGGTCCAGACGCGTGAGCGTGAGCCTCACATGCAGGTTACAAAGCTCTTTTTTAATGACAAGTCATTCTGGAATCACTCGAGGGACACGTGGTAGAAAGATGTGGAGTTTTATGATGGCCAAAACGAGTATTTTGAGTGCACGGGAAGGAGAAAAAGCCCAGGGCAGAAATCTACCCCATGACCATGGGTGTGAAGATGCGCTCTAACAGCAGGTCAGGACCTTTCTAGGTCAAACAACTGCTCTGTGCCTTGTCCCCTTCACCCCCAGACAACTCTGGCAAACGTACAAGTTGCACTTTTTTTTTTATGAATAGTTACAGACCAAAATATTTACTGGTGTCAGCAGAAAAATGTATCTGTTTTCTAACTACAGGAAAGCATGTGAAAAAAAATTGACCTGTTACACTGCGAGTAGCTGGAGAGGGTAGCCTTACTTCACTGCATCTGTTTTATTGGGCATAGGCTGTTTTACATATAAAATCAATACAGAATACAAAAAATGTGATGACTGACATTTACAGTAAAAAATGTAAAAATGTATTTTGACCTGTATTTGCACTAGCAGTTATCTCCGCTGCGTACGCATCCTCGTGGTTTCCCACCTCTAGTTAATGTGGAGGTGGCTCTGAGGGCAGGGCCAGTGCATGTGTGCTCTCTGTAGCTCTCCATGCAGAAATTCATGCAATCAGAGATCCAAGAGCCTTAAAAAAATCCAGCATCAGGAAAGGCAGCTGAAGTCAGCTATTTCTTCTAAAGTATCTTAAAAGAGTTGGTCGTACACAGTCCCTTCCTCTTCTGAGGGGCTCCTTCCTTTTCAGGGTTTTCCTCCTGGTAAGTAAGCTCTTCTGGCTTTCTGACTTCTGTACGTTTCTTGTGTCTCCATCAGAAAAAGACAAATATTTTCACTCCCTTTGCATAGTCCACAACTCATCCTATTTCAGTCAGTTCAGCAACTCAAGATTTCTTAAAGAAACTAAGTACTGCAGGATTGATTTTCACAGAATTAGGATTTCATCCAGGAAAAAAAATTATTACATCACCGCCCTCAAACTGAAAAGCACATATGAACAAAAATTACATTTCCACATCATGCTTTCCATACATATGTCTGATTGCAAAAAACACCTTATAAAACAGATTATGAAGTTAATTAACTGTGGTTCCAAATTTTGTTATTTGTTCACATTTTTGTTTAAAGGAAAAAGAAAGTGTAGATTTTTTTTTTTTTTTACCCTAAGGTGTATTCGATGTTGTGTTGTGCGTGACATGGATTACATTGCCTGCATACTTAATTTTTGTGCATATATACAGTAAATGGGGTTTGCATGGTCATTAACGGTGCTACTAAACCTTTCATTGTCGTGAGGATTAAGCTCCAGGTTTTGGGGTGTGATGCTTAAGTCACTGTCAACAGAAATTAAATCCGTAAATTCCATTTTGCAGGGACCAGACGGACTGCCAGTAGCAGGATGTTGGCATAAGGTACAGTAATAATAATTATTGTACATCCTCGAGCAGGTCCTGAGTAATTCTGTGATGCTTAAATCACTGTCAACAGAAATCTGTAAATTCCATTTTGCAGGGACCAGACGGACTGCCAGTAGCAGGATGTTGGCATAAGGTACAGTAATAATAATTATTGTACATCCTCGAGCAGGTCCTGAGTAATTCTGTTTGCTGCAGGGTGACGGTTTGTAGTGCTGCACTTCCTTTAAGCACGAGGTTGTACACCTGGCAGGCGTAACGCCAGGCTTTGGCAGAGCAGGACTCCATCTAGCTTCGTGTCTTGTTCTCCAAAGTGCAGAATGGTGCTAGAAACACCGTTCCAAAAACTGGCTAAGTGTGGAAAATCATTCTCATTAATATTTTTGGTCGCAATGCCTTTTTTTCAGGCTTGCCCAGGCAGTTTAGGAACCACTCTGTGCTCGTGTGACTTAGCCCAGAGCCTCTAGCTGAGGCTTCTACAATGGGTTACCTCTTTGTCTCAGAGTTACAAAACATTTACTTCCAAAGACTTTTCTGCCGCTGTAACTATCATCCACAACCGCTATGCTGCTCGAATCGGTACATCTGGGTGCAGTGGGCGGGTAATTCATAGTGTCTCGTGCACCCAGAACAGCCAGGGGTTGTAGTGCTAAAGGCAGCCCAGGAGAACGGGGACAGACGCGTCCCCCCGTAAGATGAGCATTTGACCCAGACTTGCAGGAGAGTGAGGTTACAGCATCTTCCTACAAGGGCAGGACAGCGAAGCTGGGTGGAATTACTAACCCGGTTCAAACATGTGGTATGTGGACACGGTCTGAGTTAATAGCAAGCATGTTACTAACTGGTTGCAAGCCCTCGGTTAGAATGTGAGCACACCCTCAGCATATCAAAGTTTGCAATTCTGCGGTAAATTGTTTGGATGTACTGTTAATATTAAAAGAAATCGGAATGCCAATCCTTAATATTATTAACAAGATTAGTAAATGCAATGAAAGGAACATTTCTCTGATTAAAATGTTTCTCTGTGTGTTCTTTTTCAGTGATCTCTAAGCATGAAGCACAATATGTAAATAATGTGATATATTTGGATCTTTTTAATTTTTGTATAAAAAAAGGAAAAAAAAAAACTTTCAACAGTAATATATTGACCTTTTTTTATACTGGATTCTGTCATTTATGGCCTTTGAAAATATTGTAAAGCTCCCAAAACCATAGGATACACATGATAACATCAGGATTTGATAAAGGTACCGATGACATGGCTGGGAATGAACAGTATTCGCTGCTGATGCTGCTGTGTGAACTAACAGTACTGAGACAGCCTGTTGCCTTTAGTGCCTTATCGCATGAAGGAGGGAGAAACCCCCGTCCTCCGTGGGCTCTGACTCTGGATTTGCATTGCACGTGCATGTTAAAAGGGTGAAAAAACCTGGCTGAGAACCACGAAGAAAAAAAGGATGCAGCCCTAGAAATGAAAGAAGCTGCTGTGTACCATCTGGTCACACGAGAAGGACTTGCAGCTTGCAGAGGAAACAAAGCCAAGCTCCATTCATTGCTACCTGCTGTTGATACGATGGAAATAGCAAACCTTTGGCTAAAGAGAGCAACCTTGACTACCTGTGGATATTTCCACTACTATCAAGTTTTGGGTTTTTTTTCCTCAAGAGGAAGCACCTCTGGGTTCCGTTCTGGGGTCTGTGGCTGAAGATGTGCAAGCGCTTTGTTACTGTGGAACCCAAATTCCCCAAGACACCTCCACTGCAATATTTCAGAACACAAAAACCTGGTAATAGGTTCAGTGTAGAGAGTTGCAGGACAGGGAGGGCTCTGCTGAAGGCTTTTATTAAATAGCAGAGCACATAATGTTGCTGTTGGGGTTCCCAAAACTTGGAGTTTGGAATATTTAATTGTCTTGGTTTGTAGGGTTTGTTTGCATTTGATTTTTCTTGGTTTACATGGTTTTAATTGTAAACTCTGTCCTCTTGTCCACTCCTCTTGTCCTCCTCTTCCTCTCCCCTTTTCTGGTCTCTTTCTTTAAATTATCTCATCTCGGGCACATCCCGTCCAGAGCAGGGTAATGAATACAGGGAGGATTAGAATGTTGATATCTGTATATGGCATTAAGTGAGATCAATTAACAAGTTGCAAACTATTCCACTATTCGAATTTTTAAACATGTTGAAAAAAAAAAGAGATTGTGCAGTAAAGAGCCATAAAAAATTATTTCAGGGAGGAAGAAAATGGCTTACAGCTGAGTAATTAACAATTTGCAAACTATTCCACTGTTCAAATTTTTAAACATGTTGAAAAAAAAATAAGAGATTGTGCAGTAAAGAGCCATAAAAAATTATTTCAGGGAGGAAGAAAATGGCTTACAGCTGAGTCAGTTGAGTTTACAATGAAGATCAAGAGGCAATCAGATTCCTTTACAGGGAGGACATACTTTATATTAACAAGTTCTTCAACTGAACAGAGAAAGATGTACAAATATCCATCCAATGGGTAGAAGCTGACATTACACAAAATCAAATAAAGCCAAGGATTTTTAATAGTGAGACTGGTTAATCCTAACCAGACCAGTGATGCAATCCCCATCACTTTAATAATGCTTTTTTGATTTAACGGATCATTTCGGGAGGAAATACTTTTGCCCAGCACAAGTTGCTAGGCTCTGTGTAGGAATCTTACATGAAATTAAGAGCCTGACCACAATATCAAACCAGATATCAGGGCGTTTTGTGTCCTTGATCTTAGAGAATACAGAAGGGAGTAAATTTTTGGTGCATTGAGTACATCCAAACTCTCTTATTAGATCCTTGTTCCACTGCATCAGTTTTTGGTGCATTGAGTAGATCTAAGCTCTCTTATTAGATCCTTGTTCCACTGCATCTGTTAAGGCAGCTATGGCCAGAGGGACTTGAGAGAGGGATGCGACCGTCCGGGGCAATGTGCCCTGCACAAGCTGACCTAGCGCTAACGTAGGTCTTGCTCCGATATTCTGAAGAACAGTAGGAACATGCTTAGTGCTCTGTGCAGGTGGGGTGATGTTTGATGTCTTGAGTTCTCATCTGTGGCTGGGTTCTGGCTGTCCTTGAGTTTATCCTTTTAGTCAGCCGGGAGCGTTTGTGATCTGCTGGGAGATGCTGGAATCTCACTTGGTAGATGTGGACACTAACGACTTATGGCTGTAGGCAGTGAACTTTAGTTACCGGTCTTTGTTAGCTGCTTAGGGTCTACACCTACACATTGCTTGCTTTCTGGCTATACTTTCCATCTTTACTAGTTACTGACCATTTTCTTGGTCACCGTATAGATTAAATCCATGTACATCAACTAACAAATCAAGAAACAAGAATTATGTAACTCAAAACAGCAATGAAAATGCATTTTATTTACTTCCATTTCATGTTGTTAGCTATCACTTTTGGTGTAGGGGTTTTTAAAGGCATAAGGAGCCGCTGAACAAGCTCCCACTGGCTTTTAGTGCTTTTGAAAAACCCCTTTACTGTCCCAAATTAAAGCTAAAAATCTTCTTCTGTGGAAAGTTGAAGGCAAATCTCTCATTGATGTCACCAGGAAGAAGATCTGTAATTGTTCCCTTAATGTACAATTGCTCTTCCCATCTGCCCCCAGTCATCTCCCAACTAAAAGCAATTCACTACTCCAAACCACGCTGTGGGCTTCTACACTCAAAATCCTGCACGGGTCCTGTTGGAGGAACCTCTATCGGTATCAATGAGCGTTCAGTCCCCAGAGTGACTGCAGAAAGCACAAGAATCTGGAAGTGTCCACAAACAATCTACAATGCAGATAGAAAAGTCTTGTTTTACATACGCTGGCAAAAACTAAACAGCTTTCTATCTAGCTCCTACTTGAAAAGTTTGATATCACTGAAGCTACGAGACAAGCTAACCTCCAAAGCTTATGAAATTATATTAAAATTTATATTTTCTCTGAGGAAATACCCCGAAGTCCTATTATCTTCAGGTAAACAAGTCAGTATTCCGTCTTCAACTTGTGGAATATCCAGTGCTTGTAGGCATCAACTGTGACCACTGCCAGGCCTGCAAAACATTGATACAGAATACCAGGAGAGTGCTTTACCTAGTGCTCTGATCGCCCTGCGTGGCAGCCGTCCCCCTCCCAACACAGAGCCTCTGCTGCCACAGACCCCAAGACATTTGCTCGTACCAGAGGAAGAGAGCTCATTTTGAATCGACTAAACCTCTTCCCCATCACCGAGGCACAGCCTGACCACTCATGTTTCCACGCCAGCCAAGGAGGAAGGTTAGAATCATCTTCCTCGCACAGGACCGCGGCTGCTATCCATACCCCTCAGCGCCACCGCCTCAGCTGCCAAACCTTTTAGTGATCATCTTTGAAAATTCCCAGGCAAGTGCCCTCTCTGCAGCGGTTTATTCTGCATCCCAAATATGGTGAGTCCAGCACGTACAAAGGAGATCCATCCCTGCCCCTGCAGTGAGCCTGGCATGTCCAGGATGTCTGATTTCCTGCACACGTACAGGTGGCAGCCTGCAAGGGACGTCTGCCGCTCCCATTGCCATCAGAAATGCTGGCAGGTCTGGATCCTGCTGGATACAACGCCTATTATAGCCACTTCGGCTACAAGGAGCTACCCAGCAGACCTCTGAGGATCTGCTGGCGGTACATCTGCTCCACCAACCCTTCTGGGACCTGTGGAAAGCAGAACTCCTGGGAATGGAGCGAGTACCGATCCCCGGGGTGTGGCTGTGACCTGCACTTCAAGTCCTGCCCGGTCCTCAACTGAGATCCGTGTGTTTGGCCTTTATGTTCTGAACTCAGTGTTCCCCATCGATCCTATCACTGTAGCAGAGGAACTGGTGATTTTTGTATCAATTGTGCAGAGTCAAAGAGGAAAAATCTGTTTAGACTTCCCCGTGCTTTCCATACACAGGTATTCACAGCAGCAGGTTGTTAAAAGCTGTTTCAGAGCAGTCATGATCTTATTGGGAAGAGTTAAGAAAAAAAAAAAAAAGTGCTTTGCTCAGCAAATTCATGCCAGATCAGTTTACTATTTTCTCCTTCCATATGGAAATTTCTATATTATGTTTTTTTTAATAATTTGAGTTTGCAAATAGCTCCCAAAGACAAATTTTACTTTTAGGTAGTACTACCAGTCTCGCTCAAAACTCAGTCTTTATCTCAGCCTCTCACAAAGCGCAGTGCATTTTTTTCCCCAGGAAACCTCTTTTTCATTGTTGTTGTTGTTCTGGTTTGAGAGAATGTTGAGATTGTTTTACAGGAATTCAGAAATGCAGCTGAATGTTACCACTAGGTGTCAGTAGCAATAAAGATGACTGACGGGGAGACTGCTAATGCTTATGAAATGCAGGACAAGCTGAGACTGAGCAATTAATTTGTGCTGGTCACCAAAATATTGAGTGTGTTAGCTTCATGGATTTGTCTACAGACCTTCTGGATAACATGCTTAAGTTACTGATCTTGGGGGAGTCTGAAGCCCAGCCAAGTTTATGTTTTATCTTTGCTTTCTAGTTTACAAAACAAAAATCCGGAGTCTAATTTAACTGACCATGAAAGCCCGGTGATTTCCATTGTGAAGATAACCACGCCTGCCTGCTGCACAGGAGCAGAGGACACGCAGCTTTCTTTAAGGCTCATTCTGTTTAAAATTGTAGCTAATGACCATCTTCCCAGTTACTCCAACATCCTCTCTAACACACCGTAGCCTGATCAATTTTGGAAGCAAAGTTCCCAAACTAAGTTCTGAGGGTTTTAAGAACTCACTTGAAGCCCCTAGAACGTTGTCCATCCATGAAGCTCGGCAGGCAGGGCTGCCTTGCCACAGGATCTGGCGAATGCATGACAAGACTGGCGCCAGAGCTGCTGCGGGCTGTGGCTGGGGGGTTGCCTTGGTTCTGGCTCCTGGTGCTCCAGGAGCCGCGATGCTGCAGCCGACTGTAAGCATGGGGAGCACTCCCCAGAGCTTCGGGGGAATGGAACTGGGGGGAAAGGGAACATGGCCAAATAACCCCCGTGTCTGTAACTCCAGTGCAGTGCTGAAATAATGCTGGCAGCTCTGGAGAGGCCTCTTGCCAGAGTGTGATCCCAAGGATTTGGCCTGTGCTGATGGGGGCAGGTGAGATTAATTAGAGTTTTGCAGCTGAACTGTGGGCTTGGCCAGTGAGTTCAGGAATATTTCTCTGGATTATGAAATTGGTGGCAGAGAAATCCCATCTGACTCCAAACTGAAGCTGTTTCCAAGCCTTAATGCACTGGGATTTTAGTTTAAAAAGAAAAAAATCAAGACATTGCCACATGCTTTGTTTTATTCTCATGGAGGGAGTTGCCTTTCTTGTGTACACTGCTTCTAACATTTGCTGTATATATAACGGTGATGAATTTATTTCCATATGGACTTTTCTCCTTTGTATTTAAAA